CTATATGTCTGCGTCACGATGACCTAGTTCTGACTATATACTGCCATACTGCAGACATCGTAGCGATATAACTGAAAATTGTTAAAGTCTCTCTCTCTCTCACTCACTCACATGCACACACACATTTATTTATGGATTATGAAGATTATTATTTTAAAGCAATTAATCGTTACTTCTGTGGTAGGAATAGTTCTTTATTTATTTAGTTATTTATATTCACAAAAGTTTTCATTTTTGTATATAACTCCATCTGCAAGTGAAAGATGTCAGTTTGCATAGGAATTCTACATTACATTCATTTCAAGAGAAATTAAAGTTAAAGTCACAATCTTAGTATGTACAGTTCAAGTCACAATGCGTGTTCAATTTAAGTAACAATGTCAATGTGTGCGGTCCAAATTTTCGAACTCAGTGTTTTCTTTAGAAAAAACGACTGCAACAAGAAAGTGTCGCATAGCGTTTGTCAATTATTTAAGAGAGAGAGAGAGAGAGAGAGAGAGAGAGAGAGAGAGAGAGAGAGAGAGAGAGAGAGAGAGAGAGAGAGAGAGAGAGAGAGAGAGAGAGAGAGAGAGAGAGAGAGAGAGAGAGAGAGATTATATGATTTATATTCGGGCTCAAACTCAATCATTTTTAAATAGAAACATCCATTTCAGATCTCAGTATTATCTTACATCAAATATGGACTTTATGCCGATACAAAAGTAATTGTTCCCCACTGATGCTTGATTAGCATTTCAAACGTGATGTATTTTTAAATTTCAACTTCTGAAATATAAATTACGATTGAAAGAACTCAAGTTCATTGTCAAAGAACCTGTATTTTGAAAAATAGGTTAGTTGTTTTCTTGAAGTGATTTAGATTATCTAGGTCATTTATATCGACCAATAGCGACATCTTTAAGAGTCAAGGCTGGGGAGAGCTAAATATTTTCATGATACATTTATATATTCGTACTAGCTATAACGGGTCAATTATTAGATATTTGATAAAAAATACAATTACAAGAAGCCCATTACAAGAATCAACAGTTTACATCCACAAAATTCGGACAGAATCATACATGTATATATTAACTGCATGCACTGGTGAGAAAAATATTAATGTGTGGTAAATTGTCTTATAGTCAGTTGTTTTTATCGAGATTAAGGTATCAACGAAACTGCAAGTTCTTTTATAAAAGTGTTTATAAATGGGAGAGAAATACAAGAGAGCAGCATTGCAAATATATCACAGTAACCTAGTTTTATCAGTTTTTATAGTTGAGTAGTACATTCAAAGAAGATACACACGTGTTTTATGAGTGTGATAACTGTCAAATATATCCTGTAAAATTTGCTGTGAGTTTATAGCGACAATATTATCCAAACTGTTATATATTTCTCCTTAGGAAAAAGATCGATAAATCGTTAATATGAGATTATGTCAATTCTGTACCCTTTTAGTTCAACAATTGTCTAAGTACATTGCTTTGCGCCATTGATAGGAATCCCCCAAATCTAAATTAATATGACAGCTATCCCCAAATCTTAACTAATATGACAGGAATCCCCCAAATCTTAACTAATATGACAGGAAGCCCACAAATCTTAACTAATATGACAGGAAGCCCCCAAATCTTAACTAATATGACAAGAAGCCCCCAAATCTTAACTAATATGACAGGAAGCCCCCAAATCTTAACTAATATGACAGGAAGCCCCCAAATCTTAACTAATATGACAGGAAGCCCCCAAATCTTAACTAATATGACAGGAAGCCCCCAAATCTTAACTAATATGACAGGAATACCCAAATCTTAATATGACAGGAATCCCCTAAATCCGAATTAATATGACAGGAATTACCAAATTCGAATTAATATGACAGGAATTACCAAATCCGAATTAATATGACAGGAATTACCAAATCCGAATTAATTTTACAGGAATCTCCCAAATTTTCTTTACTATAATCCGAAATATATACTTTTTTGAAGGTAGGAAAAACCATAGACATGTTAAGAAGATGAAGAAAAATACGGGACAGGGTAGGACTGGTTCTTGTAATTATGGAACAACTAAGTTCAACTCCATTGTTCTTGTTTTAAAAGAAGGATCGACAGAGTTGTACCCATAAAAATGAAAAAAAAAAAGAACTAAGGAAGGACGACAAAAGGTTGGAAGGTAAAGACATCATATATTACCTAAGTTAAAATCATAACTTATAAATACTGAAGCATTAGAAAAAAAAACCTTTTATACATTGTCTTCAAAATATTAAGAAAATGTAAACAACGTTTAGATAGCTTGAATAATCTGGCGATGTAATATATCAAGAAATTACCCCCTCCATCTCACAAAAACACCCAACACATTAACATAGCAGTTCATTTTGTGTGTAAGCAATGTGCAAAAGATGACAGTAGATTTACCACAATTATGGGATGTAAAATCGTACCTCTTTCTCTCTTTCAATGGAATTTTAGCTCAAATCGTGTGAATTGAAATCATTCGATTTTCCAACAATTATTCCATTCCTTTATAAATATGCGGTCACTTCGATATAAAACTATACAAAAAAAATTAGTAATAAATCTTTTTCCTTACTTTGACAGTTTTATTTAAACCGAAAAATTTAGATTTTTAAAAATTAGTCATAGTCCTTTTAGGGATTATTTGATATCGAGCAACATTGTATGGTGGGAAGGCTTGACGTCGCGTCAGGCATTATAATACATGATTTGATATCGAGCAACATTGTATGGTGGGAAGGCTTGACGTCGCGTCAGACATTAGAATACATGATACATGATTTGATATCGAGCAACATTGTATGGTGGGAAGGCTTGACGTCGCGTCAGGCATTATAATACATGATTTGATATCGAGCAACATTGTATGGTGGGAAGGCTTGACGTCGTGTCAGACATTAGAATACAGTAGTGTAACACGACGTTATCATAATTTGACCACGACGAGAATTATGAATTGTGTATGGGAAAACTACTTCTTATGCATAAACAACAATAACAAAAAGAACAACAACAACAAAAACAAAAATAATAAGAGGAGTAGTTTCTTTTTAAAATTTTCTTTCTCAAGAATGTAATACCGACATGGAGACAAATCTCTTAAATAATATAAAAATATTAATTCGATAAATTGATAAGCAACAGAAATGCATGAAATGTTGGCGCCATGAATGTGTTAATATAAAATATAGACTGTTATTTCCTAACTAAAAACGAAAATTTGCATTCCTCGTGAAGGTCTTCTAGGCCTAGTCAATCCAACCATCCTAATGCTATTTAGTATTCTATAACTTTAATACCATGTTCTACAATTGTACATATTAAAAATGACTTATGAGTATAAATAATGGAAGCCTTCACTATACGTACATTGCTAATTTAAATAAAGTCGCCTGATACGTAAAACAAATGTAAAGAAATCGCACATATTAGATATAAACAATTCAGTAATTGGATTTTCTTGACTCCGATACTTTTCCCATATTTTTTAAATCGTAACAATGCATTTTGTATTTTCTATACGTTATGTGCATGTGAATAGCCAATGAATACGAAACATGCAGCGCATTTTTCTTTTCTTTGTTATAAAGCGTCCAAATAAAGATGTCATGCAAATTATAAAAAATACACCAAACTCCTCTATTAAATATAATATAGTATCGTTGTAACATCATTTGCTTCTAATATTAGATTATGGTTTGAATACTTGCCTAACTTGAATAAGTTCAGCTATCAATATGTCAGTCAATATGAAATCCTGTTTATATATACATATATATATATACATATATATATATATATATATATATATATATATATATATATATATATATATATATATATATATATATATATATATATATATAATACGAGTGACAGTGGAAGTTTCTCAAAAGAAACTTTCTTATGATAAAGTTATCTGAACTAGACTTTGTATTAGTACTATTATAACTGGGATAAAAATATTTTTGTAAGTTTGCTACAGCAATTTAGCACTATTTGTATGGATGATTGGAAACGTTGGTGTTGCATCAAGACATATTGCCCTAAAGTCAGCAAACGATTTTTTTCATTTCTTACGTTGTAGCTTCCATCACTTTCTTCCTTTATTAAAAAAAATGTTTCAAAACGTTTAAAATGCGACATTTGACAAACAAACACAGAATGAAAATCATGGGATCATCAATAGTGATGCGTGAGTGGATGGATAGACGGACGGACAGATATATATATATATATATATATATATATATATATATATATATATATATATATATATATATATATAAATAATATGAAGGAATAAAAGCTTAAAAGCTTAGATATATGATAACTGTACCTTACCTTTTGGTTGCTACTGTCAAAGACTTTTTGAAGGTTTTGCAAAATAATAATGCTGTATCAAAGTTAGGAGATACTACTGCGATAACCTGGATTTAACTGCCCCAGATTATTCTTGTATCGCGAGATAAAAGGTAGTAACATTGTGTTCACACCAGTATTACTACCCCTTTATCGTTCTGAGATATAATTAACGATGTACCCACGATAAAATAAAAATACAAATACAAAGGAAAACTTCCAAACGAGATTGATCTTACTACACATAATAATATGTAACTCTAGAATCGTGCTTAGATAAAAATCAACCTTAGTGTCGTTGTAGCTATGTAAACTATATTGTAATCAGCATGTCTTTGGTTTAGGAGTAAATTTGTTAATGTCAGGTTTTGAAAAGGGAATCTGTGAAGAGTGTTGTGATTTAGATTTTTTTACTCAGCTTTAACAATTTTTCAGTCATATCGCTACAATGTCTGCAGTGTGACATATTTATAATGATGTCTAGCACTGGGCATCATGCCACAGACATGCGAGATGATGTACCACCCAGTCACATTATCCTGACAAAATACCAACCAGTCCTAACACTAACCTCTTAATGCTGAGCGCCAAACGAGGCAGCTGTTAGTACCATTTTAAAAAAGTTTTTGACTCGGCCTGGGTTCAAACCCACGACCTCCTGCATCCGACGAAGACGCTCTAACCACTAGGCCACCTGAGCGGTTAAAAAGGAAATGAAAATGAAACCAAATTATGGCAGAAATATTCGTCTGGAAGTATCTATCATGGAAACACTTTATTTATCTCTGCTGCAATAATCCGCTGTGTGTAAATCTAAATGACAGTTTTGTAATGATTTGAGATGATGCCAGTAATTACGATTTGTATTTTATAACTTTAGTTTGTAGCCCAGAAGCCCATGTATTTTCACAAATAAAATCTTTTACAGGATCATCTGTTCGGTGTGTTTAAAGTTCATATAAAGAATTTAATATAAAAAGTAAATAATGGTAAATGCATTATCAAAGAAAGGTCAGTGAACCTTTGTTAGTTTCCGAATGAAAACCATGTCAGAATACAGGTCTGGCATTATTTCATTTCTTGCCACACGCGCGCACACACACACACACACACATACACACACACACACACACACACACACAAACACACACGGCGATTAACAGACCTTCATAACGCACTGCATCAAAACGGATCGTGCGGGTCAGGGATAAAATAAATGCTAAAGAGAAACATACAAGAATAGTGTAAAACTGGTTTGAAACCAGCCCAAATTGTTTCGAAATTTTTCTCCAATATGTCAAATAATAAAACCGCATAATGTTTTAAAAAAAATTGTTTATTTCTCTTATTAATCAGCACCATCTCACTTATGCAATAATACTTTAGGACAGTAACTTCTACAAGTTTTAGTAAACCACTAGTTGAACAAAATACATTTATTAGGAATGGGATAATCAAATGTGTAATTAAACAATGTGATATGGCGCAAAGATTTCATTGCTGACCTACTTGCTTATGTCATCAGTTGGGGTCCATTCTTCAAGAGATTTCCACCTTAAACGGACTTAAAAGTAACAACGTTCAACCTCGATCAACCCTGCTCATTTCTTTGTATCCTTTATGCAGAAAGCATTCTGTAGATTTAGTATCGAAATTATGTTTTGTGTTTTGTTCTGGTTTCATTTGTGTAATCGTCTTTTAGGACTTTGTGCGAAAGCTATTAAACTTTCACGGCATTTATACGCTGTTGTTGGTTAGTTTTTATTAGATGAATGGATGGCTGTGTATGGAATTAATTGACCTATCGTCAATTGATAGCTAGTATGAGTACCGTTTCTTTTTAACCCATACGAATAGTAAAAGCTACTGCACAAAACTTTTTCAAATTTATAAATTCGGCTAAAGTTTGCAACTAGAGAAGCGAGGAAGACATTGGCTCCAGTAAGGTGCTTAATTGCTGTCAATACATTTGCTAGATGAACTGGCATTATCTGGGTGCGGAAACATGCGCGCTCGCCCAACCAATTTTGTTTCTTCACTGATACAACCGCTATTCTGTCAAAGAAAATATCTTCATTGGAAATACTTAAGTCTACGATAATTTTACGTTTATCAACACGTTCATTTACATACACACTGATTAAAACGTTGCTTTATGTTTCGTATGCTCGTTTTTTCCAAGAACTGTTATGCGGACAAGTTCATATTTGGTGAATATCAGTCGAACAGGTCTTTTTTTCTAGCAGAATCAATATTTGTTGACAATAGTTTTTAGTAAATATATCTAGTGTGAATTCGCAATTGAATTTCGCTTAGTGGTTATAGAAATAGTTTCTGGCTGAGTTAAAGCTTGACGGAGAATAATGCGATTGTACCAAGATAGAGACGATTTCTATTTAACTATTAAGTATATTATGATTAAGTGTATATGAGGTCCTAGTAAGTATATATGAAGTCCTGGTACGTGTAAGTGGTAAGTGTATCTGAGGTCCTGGTAAGTGTATATGAGTTCCTAGTAAGTGTAAATGAGGTCCTGGTAAGTGTATAGTTAGGTCCTGGTAAGTATATATTAGGTCCTGGTAAGTGTATATGAGGTCCTGGTAAGTGTATATGAGTTCCTAGAAAGTGTAAATAAGGTCCTGGTAAGTGTAGCTTTAGGTCCTGGTAAGTGTATGTTTAGGTCCTGGTAAGTGTATGTTAAGTCCTGGTAAGTGTATATGAGTTCCTAATAAGTATAAATAAGGTCTTAGAAAGTGCATAGTTAGGTCCTGGCAAGTGTATATTAGGTCCTGGTAAGTGTATATGAGTTCCTGGTAAGTGTATATGAGTTCTAGTAAGTGTAAATTAGGTCCTAGAAAGTGCGTAGTTAGGTCCTGGTAAGAGTATATTAGGTCCTGGTAAGTGTATATGAGTTCCTGGTAAGTGTAAATGAGGTCCTGCTTACTGTATAGTTAGGTCCTGGTAAGTGTATCTGATGTCCTGGTAAGTGTATATGAGTTCCTGGTAAGTGTATACGAGTTCCTGGTAAGTGTAAATGAGGTCTTAGTGAGTGTATATTTAGGTCCTGGCAAGTGTATATTAGGTCCTGGTAAGTGTATATAAGGTCCTGGTAAGTGTATATGAGTTCCTAGTAAGTGTAAATGAGGTCCTGGTAAGTGTATCTTTAGGTCCTGGTAAGTGTATATTAGGTCCTGGTACCAATATTCCGAAGCAGATATTCGATAAGAAGGAGAAAGAAATTGTCATTGATGCTAACTGGTTCAGCACCCCTTCGGTAAATCCCGCTACATCGCCATAACATAGCTACTCAAACTCCATCACGGATATGTAATGATAAATCATAAACAAAGATGCCAAGGACTAAAGTATCAGTGACCAATGCTGATACATATTATATGCTACATATAATAATGATCATTCTTGTCTTGATATATACGCATTGAATTAATCACTGCGGATCTAATACGTGGATAGTTTTTTGACAACATCATCATTATACCCTCACCTGCCCATGAATTTGGTTAATATGCTTAAATACTATCCTGACTCGCACACCTTACATAATGTCAGCTTTAGGTTGATCAACATCATTTCCGGTATGAATTACTATCCTGACTCGCACACCTTACATAATGTCAGCTTTAGGTTGATCAACATCATTTCCGGTATGAATACAGATACGTCGACCACTTTTTCTGACAACAGATTCTTTTTTCTCCTTCACTGGTTAATATTCAGTCGAAATAACCCCATGAAGTTACTACGTTGAGAGGTGAGGGCACCTCAGCGACCTTTGCATTCATGTGCTGTTTTGTAGCAGCTTCGGAAACGTCACTGCAACCTTTGATAAAGTCCGTGATCATGCCCGAATATATCATTCCATCGTTCGAGGCTATACAACAACGTCGTTCATGTCCATGTTGGACGTCTGCAGTTTTCTAATACTATTTAAAAGAAAGAACATAACACATGTGGGTCGAAACCAATAGCAAATCGAGTGCACAACTCGATTAAATCGGCTTTGGTACATGGTGTGCGCGAGCACCCGGAAGCGTTTATGTAAATAATCAACAACGACACATGATATGCAAGTGCGTACGAGTCAAAATAGTATGTCAAGGTGTTACTTAATAAGTTCAAGGTCCTCTTGTCACATTCAGGTTGACAATACCGGCCTCTCACGTGTGACGGATCATCAAGACACATCGGAGATACTAGACTGATTTTCCCATTGCAAGTGAATATGTTACGACGGATCTTTAACTGGGGTTATGTTGCGAACCTTTCAGGTAGTGGAAGACCTTTGAGGGTATATTGCAAATCTTCCCAGGTAGTCGAAAACCATTGCCAGAGGGTGTGTTATGAGTCTTCCCTGGTATTCAAAAACCTTTTCATTCCTATAATTCATGTACGGCTCACCATATATTTTCCAAGGACATCTTTTTCATAGCTTTCTAAGATGCAGTTCTGACTGCACCTTACACATCTGCTTTGGAACCGCGTAAGCTGCAGATGTCAACAGCGAAAGCACATCGCTTCTAGAAATGGAAATATTTTAGCGATTTTATTCTTCTGCGGCACCAACCGACATCTATGAAAAACCCAAATATATAACAGAGGAATCGCACACGAAGATAACAATAGGGTCAATAAAGGTGTCATCTTATGTTCTAATTTTCTTTGTAGCCAGTTTCATTGACTTCAATGTCAGAAGCTGTGTCTTATACTTCTTCAAATTTTTCCATAGATTTTACTTATACATTATCAATAACCTTTAATACGCTTTTGTGATACGGTTTTACCGTTCTGGCCCCTTCCACAAACTTTAACACCTTCTTATAGAAATAAATATAGATTTTCTTTCAAATTTGGACACAGTCTTGCCTAATTTATTAACTATGATTTATATGTATGTTCGTTTAATCCATATTCATTCCAATATGAAACCAATATTTTTTTTTCGTTTGTAAAGTTGTCTCTTTTCAACATCACATAGCAGACTGGGAACGTACTTAAGTTTGTCTCTTCAAATTTCATTTGTTTAAATTAACTTTCACAAAATCTTGTAAAAAGTCCTTTGTCAAAAAGTACGAAAAGTTAAATTAATTTGTCCACAGAAATATTGCTGTAATGATCTGAAAATCTAATTAGGTCATAAAAATGGCTGTAAAAAATATGCCTCAAAAATTTTCTTAGTTTACAAAGAGAGGTTTTTGGCAAATTCTTGTTAAATATTTTTCAAGACTGAAGAACAGGACAGAATCAAATCAAGATGCCCCAGCTGCAAGAACGCCATATACTCTTAAGTCTGCATTCTTTGTACAACCTGTTGTTGATCAGCATTACAGTAACCAGTCATGAGAGATAGAGGCTATGACATCATGAGTCCAAAGGGGCAAAATTTAACAAAACCGTGCAGACTGACACTACTCATTATGTGCAAGAAATGGATGATTAAAACGCATACATCTTCTTGAGGATGTATACGGTATCATTATGCATCACTGGCAGGCTGCCAGTACTGGATCGATTAATAATCTACTACTGTTTTATTGCCAGCCGTGCGGATAATCCTTATTCTTCTAAAACTACAGTTCGGATCTTATATTGTATATCAATTTATTTTCTGTTTGCCATCTTTGTCAACATGTAGTTGTTTCATAGTATATTCAACGATTTTTAATAAAAGGTGTGTGGGTC